GTGGCAAATCATTCACCATTACATCGTTGGCAATTTTTCTGCTACGAGTAATTATTTTCTGGTACGTTTTTAATCCCAGAGAGTCTGGTGGAGACTACATGTAGCTCAGAACACTTATAGCCTCTACCAGGCTTTTGGGAGCGGCTGGAAAGAGTAGAAGTTGGCGAAATAGAGAGATAACATGCCGGGGGAGTTGGTAGTTTGACCCACCTGAACCGTGCTCTCTAGCGGACCAACTCCCCCGGCATGTTATCTCTTTATTAATATTTGGCCAACTACTCTTTCCAGCCGCCTCCGGATTTCTACTCTTTCCTCCCGAAGCCTGGTAGAGGCTACACACTTACACAACTGAGTCAATATGCCGTTATCTGTTTTCTTCACAGGCCCGAACTGTTTCGCCTGGGACGGTTCCATTATCCCCGCGGGGGAGCCAGTTGCAGTGGACGGTGCCATGTGTGAGTGCAGGTGGAAGACGTGGGGGGACAGGTTCTCCCCGTTAGCAACCTGTACTACTGCTACGGGGGGCGTCCTCTCGGGCTGACCGCACGCTCGTCCACAGCGCCCGTGGAGAAGCCAAAATAAACTTTCTTTAATGCAAATCTGTCGTTTTTGTTTTCTTTGTGTCTTTCTGAAGGGTTGTGATAACCGTATAGCCGGTATAACCACTCTTCGGCGTAACACACCATCTGTATAGCCGGTATAACCACCCTTCGGCGTAACACACCATCTGTATAGGCGGTATAACCGTCCTTCGGCGTAACACACCAGCTTTCTGTATCTGTATAGCCGGTATAACCGCCCTTCGGCGTAACACACCAGCTTCTGTATCTGTATAGCCGGTATAACAGCCCTTCGGCGTAACACACCAGCTTCTGTATCTGTATAGCCGGTATAACCGTCCTTCGGCGTAACACACCAGCTATCACTGTGTACATAAGATTAACTTAACTTGGCTTTATGTCAAAAGTGTGAGAATCTCGCACCTGTTCCATGTCCAGGATAACGCAATGTTGACCTGTGGGTTAACACGAAGTATCAAAAGTCTGCGCCATGCGCCAAGTTTGTTATTGTTTGAAAATATACTAGCAACTATCGGGCTATAGAATAGTCCACAATTTTTCACTTTTCAACTTTGTATCATGGCATATAATAATATCTTAAGTGGTATCACTGGAAGGACAATCGAAACGTTTTGTAGCGGAAAGAAATGTATCAAGTGACTCAAAAAGATAAATAAAATACTGCCCGATAAATACTGCCCTGTCGATTTTAAGGTATCGAATGCAATTTCAGGACGGCAGCTATTTATTTGATGCTACCAGAAGAAAAACAACAAACAGATGCTGAACTGTTAATTGGCGTCTATAAAACATAGTCTCTACCAGACTAACTCCACTGGCTATATATAGCAGCCTCTCCAACTCTGTCCTGCTACAAAATGTAACCCAACACTGCTGAAGTACTAGTTGCCATGGTGACAGACGTCTGGTCCAGGACATTGACTTTATTTGTTTGGAGAAGAAGAGGAAGAAAGTAAACTGAGAGTAAACTGAGAAAAAACATTAAAAATGATACAAACGTTTTACAAAGTAGTCTCCTTGCACCGATCAAAATTTTGTCTGAAGCTCTCACTTCCTACGGTTGATATGTAACTCAGTAACGTTACATCATCATCATATTCATCTTCTTCTTCTTCATGTACTTCTCAGTTTAAAGCAGGCTTGAACATACGTCACATGAAACCTGACCTCTGACCTCCATTCCTTGACTTTCGTGCCTTTTGACCTTTGAACGGCTAGGACTTTGAGTACAGGACTATGACTCTGTTTTAACGCATCGGACTTTCATGTTTACTGTATGTTGTCCACTCTTGTCTTACTGTAAGTAACAATGTCTTGTGTAATTTTGCTGGGCCCCCTTGGAAAGCTAATGTAATCTGAATGGGGCTACCCAGCCGTCTTATGATAAAACTAGAGGTCGGAGATCTCATGTCTTCGTCAGAGGTACATCGTTCTAGAGAAATTAACATGCGTATTCTTCACTCTTTTTAATAATCAATTTGGTCTAAAGAACAAAAGAATCTCTGTACTATTTTTATGGTACAGAACACCCTGAAACGGTTTGCCGCAGATTATACAGATGCGTCGTCACCCGTGTTAGCCCCCCCCCCCCTCTACGTTATTTGAGTTTGGACTGTTAATGGAAAAAAAAAACGTTCAAGAAATTCTTTCTGTGTTGAAAGTGTCACACGCAAAATATAATAAGAGAAGATGTTATAAAGGAAAGAATCAGAACAGGGTGACTACTGCTGTTTTGTTAATTTGTCTTTATGACAAATAGAAGACTTGTTTCTTGTGTTCTTTGTGTCCTAACATTTGTACTTCTACAGTTAGTATATTCCAAATCTAGGCATCTCGTTTTTCGGCCCTTCGTGTTTTTATTGTGCGCTTGCCTTAAATTTAAGGTAATTAGATTTAAGGTCTCCAGTGGACGTCATCCATAGCAATTACTTGGTGTGGCCGTAGAAAATAACCTGGCATATGTCCAACCTATCCTCCCCCTGCTGAAGTTATAGTACAATCCCTCAATGTAACGTCATTTGATCCCATCCCATCATGGGGTTCCCTGGCTATATCCAGCTGTCGGCTGTCTCCAAGCAGATGTAGGGGGGGATTTCTAAACACAAAAGGTCCTATTACGGGGACATAACGACCTTCACGACTCTCATCTTTGAACTCAATCTTGGAGACCACGACAGTAACATGCCTATCAAATTTCATTAACTTCCATCCACACATACAAAAGTTATCCTGCTCACAAGAAAAATTTAAAAAATGCCCCCTGTAGTCACAACGAAACCCCCCACGAAGCTCAGTAACGAACTTAACCTTGGTCCCGACAATAGTAAGCACCACACCAAGAATTATAATCAACATTTTACAAATACTTGAGTTATCTTGCTAACAAGCCACAAAAGGTGCACTAACGTGACGCACGGACCCCCCACGAAGCCGAAACTTGTACTTGACTTCGGCCTCAACAGCGGTAATCTGCCTGCCAAAAATCATGGACGTCGAATCATGCCTTCCAGAGTTATATCGCAAAATCCGCAGTTCCCCACACTCCGGCGAGACAATTTCATAGTCCTTCTGACGAAGACAATAAATAACGATAAATAGATTCAGAAGGAAGCATTATCTGTTGTGTGTTGGACTCTGTAGTCTGGTGCAGACCGCGGCACTCCTTGGCGAGAATTCTCACGAAGTTGGTGGCGTTCTTGTTAAACGCCACGTACACGCAGGTGTTTATAACGCTGTTCCCCATGGCAGCAGCCTCCACGGCGTAAAAAAATGTTGGTGTTGAGGTCGGTAAAACATGGTGGAAATCTCTCAAAGAATCTGCTTGGAGATTACTCATTTTATTTAGGTCCTTTCAGACACGGACTCAAAAAGATGAAGACGATACAATCATTTTATAAAGTAGTCTCTCTACAACGATCAAAGTTTTGTTTGAAATTCTCACTTCCTATATAACTCAGTAACGTTACATTATCATATTCTTATTCTTCTTCTTCTTCATCAGAAGGAAGCATAACTTGTGCAGTATCGTGCCCTACAGTCTGCTGCAGACCGAGGCAGTCCTTGGCGAGGATTCTCACGAAGTTGGTGACGTTCTTGTTAAACGCCACGTACACGCAGGTGTTTATCACACTGTTGCCCATGGCGGCAGCCTCCACGGCGTAAAAAATGTTGGTGTTGAGGTCGGTAAAACATGGTGGAAATCTCTCAAAGAATCTGCTTGGAGATTACTCATTTTATTTAGGTCCTTTCAGACGAGGACTGAAAAAGATGAAGACGATACAGCCATTTTATAAAGTAGTCTCTCTACAACGATGAAAGTTTTGTTTGAAATTCTCACTTCCTATGTAACTCAGTAACGTTATATTATCATATTCTTCTTCTTCTCCATCAGAAGGAAGCATTATCTGTTGTGTGTTGGACTCTGCAGTCTGGTGCAGACCGCGGCAGTCCTTGGCGAGGATTCTCACGAAGTTGGTGACGTTCTTGTTAAACGCCACGTACACGCAGGTGTTTATCACACTGTTGCCCATGGCCGCAGCCTCCACGGCGTAAAAAATGTTGGTGTTGAGGTCGGTAAAACATGGTGGAAATCTCTCAAGGAATCTGCTTGGAGATTACACATTTTATTTCGTTCCTTTTAGACACGGGTTCAAAAAGATAAAGACGATACAAATGTTCCCCATGGCCGCAGCCTCCACGGCGTAAAAAATGTTGGTGTTGAGGTCGGTAAAACATGGTGGAAATCTCTCAAGGAATCTGCTTGGAGATTACACATTTTATTTCCTTCCTTTTAGACACGGGCTTAAAAAGATGAAGACGATACAAACGTTTTACAGAGTAGTCTCTTGACACCGATCAAAGATCTGTCTGAAGCTCTCACTTCCTATGGTTGACATATAACTCAGTAACGTTACATCATCATCATAATGGTTATCTTCTTCTCCATCAGAAGGAAGCATTATCTGTTGTGTGTTGGACTCTGCAGTCTGGTGCAGACCACGGCACTCCTTGGCGAGCATTCTCACGAAGTTGGTGACGTTCTTGTTAAACGCCACGTACACGCAGGTGTTTATCACACTGTTGCCCATGGCAGCAGCCTCCACGGCGTAAAAAATGTTGGTGTTGAGGTCGGTAAAATATGGTGGAAATCTCTAAAGGATCTGCTCGGAGATCACACGTTTTATTTCGTTCCTTTCAGACGAGGACTGAAAAAGATGAAGACGATACAGTCATTTTATAAAGTAGTCTCTCTACAACGATGAAAGTTTTGTTTGAAATTCTCACTTCCTATGTAACTCAGTAACGTTATATTATCATATTCTTCTTCTTCTCCATCAGAAGGGAGCATTATCTGTTGTGTGTTGGACTCTGTAGTCTGGTGCAGACCGCGGCAGTCCTTGGCGAGCATTCTCACGAAGTTGGTGACGTTCTTGTTAAACGCCACGTACACGCAGGTGTTTATCACACTGTTGCCCATGGCGGCAGCCTCCACGGCGTAAAAAATGTTGGTGTTGAGGTCGGTGAGGGTCAGGACGTGGTGAAAGTCCCTCAGAGCGGCGTAGACGTAATACGGCGCCCAGCACAGCACGAACAGAGCGAGGATCAGAACCAGGCGGAGCGTTTTCCTCTTGGACCTCTGCACCTGTGGAATGTTTCAGTCGTATTAATTTTTAGCCTATTGGTTGTAATACTCTTTCTTATTATGTTATGTGTATACAGTGTGCGAATAGATAAAACATTCATGTAACATTTACAAAGCAAATGCATAATATTTATCTTCGCATATAGTCTGCTCTATTAATTCTTACTCAAACACATTTCATATATATGGTGACAGGTGTCAAAATCCCTCCCACTATAAAATTGCAACATGATGTAATCCAACACCAGCTACCGTGGTGACGGACGTCTGTGTCAGGTCATTGGCCTTATTTGTTTGGAGAAGAAGAGGAAGAAACTGAGCAAATGCGATATGCTCTCCTTCAGTAAACATTAAAACAAAACAAACCTTCTCCCTTATAGCGTCTGTAAGAATTCCCGGCAGTTCCCTGTGAAAGACTTTCCAGATGACGGGTAAGGAACAGACCGCCATGACCACCACCGGCAGCACGAACTGGAACGCCAACATACTGCCGTAGTACCTGTAGCAGGGCCAATCACTGCGTTAGGCGCTCTGGGGTCCCGTGAATAGTTTCATCAGGTTGGTAAGACACTGAGATTCTTTTTACACAACCAAGTCTTTTATTTCTGTCCTCTTTACTATTTTGGTCTTCTGTTATTGACGCATACTTTTTTCCTTTTTGCAACGGACGTTAAAAAACGTTACCCAGGCCATGGCACTTTCAAACCTCGAACCTGGTTTGGCGTTTCTTAGAGTGAAAGGCTAAGATAACCAGGTCATTACAGTGAGAGTCTAAGACACTCTAACCAAGATCCTACCAGGCAGAAAGACCATTTGTTACATACCCCTTGTAGACGGTGAGGTGCCGGGCGTTCCACACGACTCCGCAGAAGGAGTAGCCCTGGTGGTGGCGGCGCAGGTTCGGCCGCACGAGGGAGAACTTTGCTGAGGGAACGGCGATGAGGATGGAGAGGAGCCACACACCGGCGGACACCAACATGGCGCCCGTCTTCCCCACCCGCCGCCAACGGGGACGGACTATGGTTATGTACCTAGCGTAAAAAAAGAAAGAGGAAGAAACAGGTATGATAAATTCTTTACATCCTGATAAGCTTTGCGGAGGGAACGGCGATGAGAATGGAGAGGAGCCAGACACCGGCGGACACCAACATGGCGCCCGTCTTACCCACACGCCGCCAACGGGGACGGACTATGGTTATGTACCTAGCGTAAAAAAAGAAAGAGGAAGAAACAGGTATGATAAATTCTTTACATCCTGATGAACTTTGCGGAGGGAACGGCGATGAGGATGGAGAGGAGCCACACACCGGCGGACACCAACATGGCGCCCGTCTTCCCCACACGCCGCCACCGGGGACGGACTATGGTGATGTATCTGGAGTAAAAGAGAAAGAGGTACAATGTACGATAAATTCATAATGATTATCTTTGCGGAGGGAACGGCGATGAGGATGGACACCACCCACACACCGGCGGACACCAAGATGGCGCCCGTCTTACCCACACGCCGCCAACGCGGACGGACTATGGTGATGTACCTGGAATAATCAAAATCAATAAGAACAGATCTTCTCTTTAGTCTCTACCAGACTAACTACGCTGGCTATATATAGGAGAATAATTGCCAGTGGAGTTTGGCCGCCTTGATTGACCGCGCAGTTAGTCTGTAGAAATGATGTGCGATGAAAGGCAATAAAACTAATCCGCTCATTTTCGGAGGAAAAGAAACTACCTCCCGCGGCCGGACTCCGTTGGCCAATTTTAGTCCCTTTATTGCCGAATTCTACGATCCGTATTCCCGTAGAAAGGCCTGATGGAGGCTATCTTCTCCTTACCTGTCTACACCAATAACGACGAGCGCGTTGGTGGACACGTGAAGAGACACCGTCTTGACGTAGTTGACCACGGCGCACATCTCGCCCCCGTAGCGCCACGCTCGGTCGTGTATCACGTAGTAATCCAGACTGAACGGCACGCACAGGACCGCCACCACAAAGTCGGAGAACGCGAGGTTCGCGATCAGGAGGTTCGTCTTGGTCCGCGCTTTCTTGTACCGCCCTGTAGCATACATGTAGAAGATTAAATACATTTTTTACTAATATTATCATGAAAGTTCATACAGATACAATTTACAATCAAGTACAAAATGTATTTCGTCTTCTATGCTACAGGGCGGTACAAGAAAGCGCGGACTAAGACCAACCTTCTGATCGCAAACCTCGTATTCTCCGATTTTGTGGTGGCGATCCTGTGCGTTCCTTTCAGCCTGGATTACTACGGGATTTTCATCCGACACAAAAACTTTCTCTCACCTAGAGCTTTCGACCAGTTACTCTGGTCTTCCTCAGTAGACCGACCCAGTGAGACTTGTCACGTGGCTTCTTTGAAGTGTGACGTCAACACTGGGTCAGTCGACTGAAGAAGACCAGAGTGACTGGTCGAAAGCTCTAGGTGAAAGATTTTGTGTCGGATGAAAAGTATCAACTTTATACATGTAACAACTAACAGATGAACTTTCATGATAGTATTAGTACAAAATGTATTTCATCTTCTACATGTATGCTACAGGGCGGTACAAGAAAGCCCGGACTAAGACCAACCTCATGATCGCGAACCTCGCGTTCTCCGACTTTGTGGTGGCGGTCCTGTGTGTTCCCTTCAGCCTTGATTACTACGTGATTTTCATCCAACACACAAACTTTCTCTCACCTAGAGCTTTCGACCAGTCACTCTGGTCTTCCTCAGTAGACTGACCCAGTGTTGACGTCACACTTCAAAGAAGCCACGTGACAAGCCTCTCTGGGTCAGTCTACTGAGGAAGACCAGAGTGACTGGTCGAAAGCTCTAGGTGAGAGAAAGTTTTTGTGTCG